TTTCAATTTTTAAATTTCTCAATTTTTCCACGTTTCGGTTTTGGCTTTTTTAAATTTTTCCATTCACCACTTTTTTTCCCCATTTTTCAATTTTTTATTATTTCAGTTTTGGGATTTTGCAATATTTAGATTTTTGGATTTCTCGATATTTTAGTTTTTCTGTTTTAGGATTTTTTGATGTTTCGATTTCTTGACATCTCGATTTTTCGATTTATAATATTCTTCGACTTTTCAATTTTTAAATTTCTCAATTGTTCGATTCTTCAAACTATGGACTTTTCAATTTTTCAGCATTTTAATTTTTCGGTCTTTTACTGTTTCAATAGCTTGATCTTTCAATTTTCGAATTTCTAGATTTACATTTTCCGATTTTTAAAATTTTTGATTTTTCGATTTTCAATTTTTTAAATTTCTCGATTTCTCAGTTTCTCGATATTCCAATTTTTCAGTTGTTCGATTTCTCAATATATATTTCGATTTTTCAGTTTCTCGATTCTTCAATTTTCCGAATTTTTAAATTCTGGAGTTTCGATTTCTCAATTTTTTACTTTTTCGATTTATTGATTTTTATTTCCCAATTTTTCAAAATTTTTAAATTTGACATTTTTCAGTATGTTGATGTGTCAATTCAACGATCTTTCAATTCTTCTACTTTTAGATTTCTCGATTTTTCAATTTTTTCGATGTTTCAATTTTTCTTCCGTTTTTCAATTTTTCGGTATTTCAACTTTGGGATTTTTCATTTTGTTGATTCTTCAATTTTTCGATTTTTCGATCTCTCGATTTTTTCCTTTTCCAAGATTTATTGATGTTTCTAATTCTCAATTTTTCGCATTTTTTAAATTTTAGATTTTTCAGTATGTTGATGTTTCAATTCAACGATGTTTCAATTTTTCGACTTTTCGGTTTTAGATTTTTCGACTTAGATTTCTGGAATTTTCAATTTTTAAATTTCTCAATTTTTCCATGTTTCGGTTTTAGCTTTTTTAAATTTTTCCATTCACCAATTTTTTTTCCCATTTTTCAATTTTTTATTATTTCAGTTTTGGGATTTTGCAATATTTAGATTTTTGGATTTCTCGATATTTTAGTTTTTCTGTTTTAGGATTTTTTGATGTTTCGATTTCTTGACATCTCGATTTTTCGATTTATAATATTCTTCGACTTTTCAATTTTTAAATTTCTCAATTGTTCGATTCCTCAAACTATGGACTTTTCAATTTTTCAGCATTTTAATTTTTCGGTCTTTTACTGTTTCAATAGCTTGATCTTTCAATTTTCGAATTTCTAGATTTACATTTTCCGATTTTTAAAATTTTTGATTTTTCGATTTTCAATTTTATAAATTTCGCGATTTCTCAGTTTCTCGATATTCCAATTTTTCACTTGTTCGATTTCTCAATATATATTTCGATTTTTCAGTTTCTCGATTCTTCAATTTTCCGAATTTTTAAATTTTGGAGTTTCGATTTCTCAATTTTTTACTTTTTCGATTTATTGATTTTTATTTCCCAATTTTTCAAAATTTTTAAATTTGAAATTTTTCAGTATGTTGATGTTTCAATTCAACGATCTTTCAATTCTTCTACTTTTATAGATTTCTCGATTTTTCAATTTTTTCGATGTTTCAATTTATCTTCCGTTTTTCAATTTTTCGCTATTTCAACTTTGGGATTTTTCAATTTGTCGATTCTTCAATTTTTCGATTTTTCGATCTCTCGATTTTTTCCTTTTCCAAGATTTATTGATGTTTCTAATTCTCAATTTTTCGCATTTTTAAATTTTAGATTTTTCAGTATGTTGATGTTTCAATTCAACGATCTTTCAATTTTTCGACTTTTCGGTTTTAGATTTTTCGACTTAGATTTCTGGAATTTTCAATTTTTAAATTTCTCAATTTTTCCATGTTTCGGTTTTGGCTTTTTTAAATTTTTCCATTCACCACTTTTTTTCTCCATTTTTCAATTATTTATTATTTCAATTTTGGGATTTTGCAAAATTTAGATTTTTGGATTTCTCGATATTTTAGTTTTTCAGTTTTAGGATTTTTTGATGTTCCGATTTCTTGACATCTCGATTTTTCGATTTATAATATTCTTCGACTTTTCAATTTTTAAATTTCTCAATTGCTCGATTCTTCAAATTCTGGACTTTTCAATTTTTCAGCATTTTAATTTTTCGGTCTTTTACTGTTTCAATAGCTTGATCTTTCACTTTTCGAATTTCTAGATTTACATTTTCCGATTTTTAAAATTTTTGATTTTTCGATTTTCAATTTTTTAAATTTCTCGATTTCTCAGTTTCTCGATATTCCAATTTTTCAGTTGTTCGATTTCTCAATATATATTTCGATTTTTCAGTTTCTCGATTCTTCAATTTTCCGAATTTTTAAATTTGGGTGTTTCGATTTCTCAATTTTTTACTTTTTCGATTTATTGATTTTTATTTCCCAATTTTTCAAAATTTTTAAATTTGAAATTTTTCCATGTTTCAGTTTTAGCTTTTTTAAATTTTTCCATTCACCAATTTTTTTTCCCATTTTTCAATTTTTTATTATCTCAGTTTTGGGATTTTGCAATATTTAGATTTTTGGATCTCTCGATATTTTAGTTTTTCAGTTTTAAGATTTTTTGATGTTTCGATTTCTTGACATCTCGATTTTTCAATTTATAATATTCTTCGACTTTTCAATTTTTAAATTTCTCAATTGCTCGATTCTTCAAATTCTGGACTTTTCAATTTTTCAGCATTTTAATTTTTCGGTCTTTTACTGTTTCAATAGCTTGATCTTTCAATTTTCGAATTTCTAGATTTACATTTTCCGATTTTTAAAATTTTTGATTTTTCGATTTTCAATTTTTTAAATTTCTCGATTTCTCAGTTTCTCAATATTCCAATTTTTCAGTTGTTCGATTTCTCAATATATATTTCGATTTTTCAGTTTCTCGATTCTTCAATTTTCCGAATTTTTAAACTTGGGAGTTTCGATTTCTCAATTTTTTACTTTTTCGATTTATTGATTTCTATTTCCCAATTTTTCAAAATTTTTAAATTTGAAATTTTTCATTATGTTGATGTTTCAATTCAACGATCTTTCAATTCTTCTACTTTTAGATTTCTCGATTTTTCAATTTTTTCGATGTTTCAATTTATCTTCCGTTTTTCAATTTTTCGCTATTTCAACTTTGGGATTTTTCAATTTGTCGATTCTTCAATTTTTCGATTTTTCGATCTCTCGATTTTTTCCGTTTCCAAGATTTATTGATGTTTCTAATTCTCAATTTTTCGCATTTTTTAAATTTTAGATTTTTCAGTATGTTGATGTTTCAACTCAACGATCTTTCAATTTTTCGACTTTTCGGTTTTAGATTTTTCGACTTGGATTTCTGGAATTTTCAATTTTTAAATTTCTCAATTTTTCCATGTTTCGGTTTTGGCTTTTTTGAATTTTTCCATTCACCAATTTTTTTCCCCATTTTTCAATTTTTATTATTTCAGTTTTGGGATTTTGCAATATTTAGATTTTTGGATTTCTCGATATTTTAGTTTTTCAGTTTTAGGATTTTTTGATGTTTCGATTTCTTGACATCTCGATTTTTCGATTTATAATATTCTTCGACTTTTCAATTTTTAAATTTCTCAATTGCTCGATTCTTCAAATTATGGACTTTTTCAATTTTTCAGCATTTTAATTTTCCGGTCTTTTACTGTTTCAATAGCTTGATCTTTCAATTTTCGAATTTCTAGATTTATATTTTCCGATTTTTAAAATTTTTGATTTTGCGATTTTCAATTTTTTAAATTTCTCGATTTCTCAGTTTCTCGATATTTCAATTTTTCAGTTGTTCGATTGCTCAATATACATATATTTCGATTTTTCAGTTTTTCTATTCTTCAAGTTTCCGACTTTTTAAAATTTGGAGTTTCGATTTCTCAATTTTTTACCTTTTCGATTTATTGATTTCTATTTCTCAATTTTTCAAAATTTTTAAATTTTAAATTTTTCAGTATGTTGATGTTTCAATTCAACCATCTTTCAATTCTACTTTTAGTTTTCTCGAATGCTCAAATTTTCGATTTCTCAATCTTTCCACGTTTCAATTTTGGCTTTTTCTAATTTTTCCGTTCTTCAACATTTTTCCTATTTTTTCAATATTTAGATTCTTCAATTTTCGATGTTCTAATTTTTAATTAAAAAAAGGCAAAATATAAATAAATTCCAGTCCTTTGGCTCTTGACAATTTAAAAAAAATCATCACAATTGAGATAGGGTGGGTGGGCGGGGCTTAAATTTTGCCTTTTTTTCTTAATGTACGCAGTATTTTGTGTACGTAAAATTATGTATCGGGCGTCATTCACATCTTCCTCATTCAGTAGCGGCAAAATTCAGTAAAATATACCAAAAACGAAATTACCAAATTTGGAGTTTTTTCATAAAATGGAGAAGAAATTGATTATTTGAAATCTTTATAATTTGTACGAAATCGTTTTCATGTGTTTGGTCATCCACGCAGTAGGAAAAAAGTAATGTGTAACTATATTCACTTTTACCAAGACTTTTCTTAAAACAAACGTTTTTTTTACGAAAAAACAAAGAACTATTTGAAATGCAATATACTTTTCACAAACGCACGGAACAAATAGTTTTGAATGACACGTCAGTTAGACGACAGGTCCGTCAGGAACGCCAACTATTCAAATTAATTCGAAGTGGCGATTCCCATACAAAATTTTTAAATTTTTTTTATTTTTTAGCTGTCTTATTTTTTATAAATTTCCTTATATACAAACCTTGTCCTGACAATAAGGAACACACAAAAAAAGAATCATCCAATTTGGTGCAGTCGTTCTGAAGTTATGCGCGTATATTTATATAGGTAGATAAAGTTGTTTTTGTTTGTAATGTAATAAAAGAGTTATTTAAATATGTAGAATTATGTATCTAGTATGCAGTCACCTTCATTTTAATAAATTTAATTTTTTAAATCAATGTCACCTACTTGTTTATAATCGTTGCAAGCCAGTAATAATCCTCCTACATACCAAGAACGAACAACGTGCATTTTAAATAAATCGCAAAATTTTCACTAAAATGGAAAAGAAATTTGTAATTCGAAATTCCCTTGCGACCGATGCATTCCAACATCCTCAAACGAGAAATATTTACAACATGTGCGCCATCGTCTTCGTGGGTCTTTCTTTCTACACATTAGGAAGAGAATACTTGACAACTGGAAGGTAAGAACTTAAACAAAAACGACGTTGAAACAACAACTGCTTTTAGAGTAACTTTTGGCTTTGAAGTAATAAAAGCAAGCTTCGTCCACCTGGATAAAGCCATCTTCGTTTGGTTGTGTTGCTTTGCGTCAGCTTGTGCACTGTTCTTCATTTTTAAAGTGTGGTTGAGTCTTAGAGCGTGTACAGGAGGTAAGTTAAGCTGTGGTTTTGAAAGCGAACGTTCCGTTGAAGCTTTGATTTTTTTCGAAAAATAAAAATGTTCGTAGTTCAAAATACAGACTAAGTAATGTTGTTAGGTGTACAATCGCAATGTTTTGAACCTATGGGCGGATCATTTTTGCCGGTCGTCACCGAAGGAGGCGGTCCAAATCGTCCAAGGGCAGAATTTGTAGGTAAGCTCAAACTACAACGAAATTTACGTGTTGACCATATTCTTACCCTGAATTAGTTTTAATTTTATAAATACCCTATCTAAAATGTTTAGAATATGATGAGTCTATACTTGTGATTTACCATTCCATTAATATTTTTTGGATTTGTTTATACATACAGGGTGACTCAAAAAAATAATGACTGAGTCAATTTATTTTATTGAAGAAATCAAGAATTGCAAAACTGAATACTTTGAAATCTTGTCAATTAGTTAGAAAAAAAAAACCTGTCCTGCTCTAATAACATCGAGAATATGCTCAAAATCACACTAATATCAGGTCTAATAGTGTCGACCATAGTTAAAATTCACATTAAAGTAAGTCAGGGACATTTTTTGAAGTGTACTACATTTCAAAAAGCAAAAAAAATGTTCAGTTTATAAACTTCACAATTTTGGTTTAAAGTTTATCAATCATATTTGACGCTTTATTTTATCCGTTCCATTTGTTATCCTTTACTGCGGTCTCTCTTGGGTCGAGGTGTAACACCGGACCGAACGTTCTTCAACCGATAGGATAATTTATCACTTCCGACATCTTTTCGGTGACAAATTTAATCTTCGCATATTTCAGCGTAGTTAGTGAACTCGTTGTGACCACTGAAATATACAAAGAGTAAATTTTGAAATGGAACGAAAGTCGAAGAATACTTTCAAAGCCACGATCAAAATGTATTTGCTTATCTTCGCCAAAAAATGCATGACGTCATCGTAAAATTTTATATGATGAGTCTATACCTGTGATTTATCATTGCAGTAATATTTTTTAGATTTAATTATACAGCCTGTCTCAAAAAAAGGTCACTTCGATTTTCGATTTTTCGTTTTTTCGATCAACAGTTTCATCGAATTAGATTTTTCAGTTTCCATTTTTCTATCAACTTTTCGATTTTATTACTTTCTAATTTTTTGATTTTTCAAATTTGCGGTATTTTGATTTTTCGAGTTTTCAGTTTTTTCGTTTTTCGATTTTTTGGTTTTTGGATGTTTCGATTTTTTAAGTTGCCATTCTTTCAATTTTCGATTTTTCGTCTTTCCATTTTTAGATTTTTTGATTTTTCTGTTCGTCAGTTTTTAGACTTTGCAATTTTTTTGCATTTGTCGATTATATTTTACTTTCCGATTTTTTTGATTTTTGAATTCTCGATTTTACGTTTTTAATTCTTCGATTTCCGATTTTTCAATTTTCCGGTTTTTTAATTCTTCTATTCTCGATTTTTCGATTTTCCATTAATCATAAAATTTTTCGATTTTTCGGTTGTTTTATTTTTCGACCTTCGATTTTTCAACTTTCGATTATTCGATTTTCCATTTTCTGATTTTATTGGTTTTTCCGCTTTTGTGGTTTTTCGATTTTTCTGTTTGTTTCAGTTTTTATGGTTCTGCAATTTGCAGCTTTTAAATTTCAATTTTGTTACTTTCCGATTTTCCACTTTTCGATTTTCATTTTTTCGATTTTTTGATTTTTCAATTTTTAGGCCTTGCAATTTTTTTACTTTTCGCTTTTTCGAGTATTTGTTTCATCGAATTTTCGATTTTCAATTTTTCGGTTTTTCCATTTCCCGATTTTCGATTTTTCGACTTTCCATGTTTAGATATTTTTCGATTTTTTTTTATTTATCAATTGTTCTGTTCGTCAGTTTTGAGACTGCAATTTTTACTTTTCCACTTTTCTATTATTTTAGTTTCGGATTATTCGATTTTTGAATTTACGTTTTTTTTTCATTTTTCGATTTCCGATTTCCGATTTTTTAATTTTTCGATTTTTCGGTTTTTTAATTTGTCGATTATCGATATTCCGATTTTCGATTTTTCGATTTTCCAATCTTCGATTTTTCAAATTCCAGTTTTCGATTTTCCACCTTTTGATTTTACGATTTTTCGATATTTCTGTTCGTCAGTTTTTAGGCTTTGCAATTTGTTTACTTTTCGATTTTTCGATTATTTTACTTTCCAGTTTTTTGATTTTTGAATTGCCGACTTTTAGAGTTTTCAATATTATGAATTTTCCGAATTTTCGGTTTTCCTATTTTTCGATTTTTGATTTTTCCATTTTTCGGTTTTCTGATTTTTCAATTCTCGGTTTTTCAATCTTGCAAATTTTCCATTTTTCAGATTTGTGAATTTCCAGTTTTTCGATCGACCTACGTATTAGATTCATTGAATTTTCGATTTTCAGTTTTTCCATTTTTAGATTTTTGATTTTCCAGTTTTGTATTTTCAGATTTTCTGTTTTTCGCATATCTGATTTATCAAATTTTCGGTTTTTCGGCTTTTCGATTTTTCGATATTTCATTTTCGAATTTTCTTTTTAAATCTTTTCGAATTTTTGATTTTTAATTTTTCCATTCTTCGGTTTTTAGACTTCAATTTTCTTTCTTTTAAATTTTTCGATATTATATTTTCCGCTTTTCAGAATTTTCGATTTTCAGTTTTCAGACTTTCAATGATTAGAATTTTGGATTTTTCAGTTTTATGATTTTTCGATTTTTAGAAAATTTGAGTAGTCGAATTTTCGATTTTTCGATTCATCGATTTTTCTATGTTCAATTTTTCAATTTAAATTTTGCGATTTTCAATTTGTCCATTGTCGATTTTTAGAATTTTCGGTTTTTCAATTTTTTCATTCTCAACTGTTAGATTTCAATTTTGTTACTTTTCGATTCTTTGGTTTTCGATTTTCCAATTTTCAGAATTTCCAAGTTTCTTTATTCAGATTTTCGATTTTCCACTTTTTCGATTTTAGATTTTTCGAATTTTTGTTTTTCCAATTTTTTGCTTTTTCGATTTTTCTGTTCGTTTCAGTTTTTAGGCTTTGCAATTTTTTTTTACTTTATATATTTTGATTATTTTAATTTCCGATTTTTTTTATTTTTGATTTTGATTTTTTAAATTTTCAATATTACAAATTTTTGACTTTTCGATTTTTTGGTTTTCCCGTTTTTCAATTTTCGATTTTTCGATTTTTGAGGTTTGTGAATTTCCACTTTTCGATCGACCTAGGTATTTGATTCATTGATTTTCGATTTTCAGTTTTCAGACTTTCAATGATTAGAATTTTGGATTTTTCAGTTTTATGATTTTTCGATTTTTAGAAAATTTGAGTAGTCGAATTTTCGATTTTTCGATTCATCGATTTTTCTATGTTCAATTTTTCAATTTAAATTTTGCGATTTTCAATTTGTCCTTTGTCGATTTTTAGAATTTTCGGTTTTTCAATTTTTTCATTCTCAAGTGTTAGATTTCAAATTTGTTACTTTTCGATTTTTTGGTTTTCGATTTTCCAATTTTCAGAATTTCCAAGTTTCTTTATTCAGATTTTCGATTTTCCACTTTTTCGATTTTAGATTTTTCGAATTTTTGTTTTTCCAATTTTTTGCTTTTTCGATTTTTCTGTTCGTTTCAGTTTTTAGGCTTTGCAATTTTTTTTACTTTATATATTTTGATTATTTTAATTTCCGATTTTTTTAATTTTTGTTTTTGATTTTTTTAATTTTCAATATTACAAATTTTTGACTTTTCGATTTTTTGGTTTTCCCGTTTTTCAATTTTCGATTTTTCGATTTTTGAGGTTTGTGAATTTCCACTTTTCGATCGACCTAGGTATTTGATTCATTGATTTTCGATTTTCAGTTTTCAGACTTTCAATGATTAGAATTTTGGATTTTTCAGTTTTATGATTTTTCGATTTTTAGAAAATTTGAGTAGTCGAATTTTCGATTTTTCAATTCATCGATTTTTCTATGTTCAATTTTTCAATTTAAATTTTGCGATTTTCAATTTGTCCATTGTCGATTTTTAGAATTTTCGGTTTTTCAATTTTTTCATTCTCAACTGTTAGATTTCAATTTTGTTACTTTTCGATTCTTTGGTTTTCGATTTTCCAATTTTCAGAATTTCCAAGTTTCTTTATTCAGATTTTCGATTTTCCACTTTTTCGATTTTAGATTTTTCGAATTTTTGTTTTTCCAATTTTTTGCTTTTTCGATTTTTCTGTTCGTTTCAGTTTTTAGGCTTTGCAATTTTTTTTACTTTATATATTTTGATTATTTTAATTTCCGATTTTTTTAATTTTTGTTTTTGATTTTTTTAATTTTCAATATTACAAATTTTTGACTTTTCGATTTTTTGGTTTTCCCGTTTTTCAATTTTCGATTTTTCGATTTTTGAGGTTTGTGAATTTCCACTTTTCGATCGACCTAGGTATTTGATTCATTGAATTTTCGATTTTTTGATTAGCCATTTTTAGATTTTCGATTTTTACGATTTATATTTTTCGATTTTCTGTTTTTTGCATTAGTGAATTTCAGTTTTTCCGATTTTTGATTTTGCGCATATTTGATTAATCAAATTTTCGAAAAAGTTACCATGCTTACAAAAACTTCAAAACATCTACAATATTTCAAAGTATTCAGTTTTGCTATTCTTGATTTCTTCAATAAAATAAATTGACTCAGTCATTAACTTTTTTGAGACACCTGTATAACCAAAACTAAAAAATATTAATGCAGTGATAAATCACAAGTATAAAACTCATCATATTTTATACATTTAAGATAGGATTTATTCTGCAAAATTTTGAGGTGACGTCAAAAATTTTTTAGAGGGGATAAGCAAATATATTTTAATTAAAAATGTATCATGTTTATCATGATTTTAAAACATCTGCAAGATTTCAAAGTATTCGATTTTGCAAATTCAAAATTAAATTGCAAAATATTGTTTTATAATTTTGATTTTTAAGTGACGTCATCACATTATTGGTGGGGATGATTAGACAAATTTAATAATTTTGCGACATTTATGAAAAACATATCAGTTAACAGAAATGGCACGTTTTTATTATTATGCCAGTTACATGTCACTCAACGACAATATCGTTTTTTCTTAAGAGTATTTTATTTGAAAAAGTGATGAAATTTTTTATACGGAACAATTGGTCGAAAGAAGTTAGAAAGCAAAATAATTCATGTCCGGACCATCGTTACTCACGAACGAAAGTGACCATTATTTTATGGGAACAACCACCTGCTAAATCTTCTCCGACAAATTCCAGAGAACTGGTGTGAGCCATAAATATTTCTTACCAAATGTATGTATGTGAATTTCGTTGTGGTTTGAGCCTACCTACAAATTCTGCCCTTGAAGGATTTGGACCGCCTTCTTTGGTGAGGGCAGGCAAAAACGATCCGCCCATAGGCTCAAAACATTTGCGTGCCATTGTACATTGCGTCAATATATCGTCAACAATGCTGTCAATTATCTGTCAACCCGACTGCATTTAAGATAGTAATCAAGAAACCATCGGTGCTTTAAAGTATATTCGGTTGCATACTTACTCTCCAGGCTTACCCAAAAAATATTTCGTATGGTAGGTACATCCGTTATTCAGTCAAAAAGCGACCAACGGAACGTTGTTTGGAAACTACAATTCATATTTTTAACGACATTTCAAAACTGATAACTAACTTTCAGGTTTGGCCACAGTTTTCGATTGGTTCGGATTTCTCTGCTTAGCTTTGTACTATTTTTACAGCTTCAGATTAGTCACTGATGCAATACGCTACTTCAACTTCAATTTCTCTTGCATACTTATCATAAGTCTGGAACAGGTAAGTTAATCATCAAAAAAATCGCTTTAAAATAAATCAATTTTTAGCCTCGCTTGTTAATGAAAGTCCACGCTTTCGTGCGAACCAAAGCTTCAGAAGAACTTCCTCGTCTCTCTTTTCCTAACTACCTATATTTCCTTTTCGCTCCGACTCTCATCTACAGAGACGCGTACCCTAGAAATAAAACCATCAACTGGAAATTTGTCGCTCAGTGTCTCCTGGAATTCGTTACTGGTGTTTTCGCATTAACTTTCTGCGTCGAGAACTGTTTCCCACCTTCAGAAAGATGGGCACAAAAATTTACCGTAAACGAGGTGTTACTCGTGATTGTGGAGATAATAGGATATGCAGCGATATTGCTAGTGTGTCCATTCTTCATAGTGTTCCACTCGTTTCACAATTTCTTTGCCGAGATTCTTCAGTTTGGAGACCGTTTGTTCTATTTAGATTGGTGGAACGAACACACCGTTAACGGGTGGTTGGTGAAAAATGACAAGGTCGTGCAGGACTGGTTGTATTATTACGTTTACCGAGATTTCAGGAAACATATTTATGACAATGCTTTACTAGCAAAATTGACGGTGTTCTTGTTGTCTTTTGTTGTGCATGAATGGGTTGTATTTTGTTGCACTGGTGGACTTGTTCCTGTAATATTTTTTGTGTTTGTGGTTGTAGGAATTCCCCTGACATTCTTTGATATTCCTAAAAACATTCTCTCTGTAGTTGTTTTCTGGTGTTCACTTATTCTGTTTTCAGCAATCGGATTCGTATTTTATACCCTGGAATGGTACGCTCGTTGGAAAAACCCTCTGGAAGATCCAACGCTTTGGGAATCACTTGTTCCTAGATTTTTAACGTGTAACTGTGTATTAAAAATCTAGGTACTTGTTTGGGAATAGATGGAATTGTACTTCCGGTACTTCCATTGTATATGTTACGGGAAACTTTAATATTACAAGTACTTAACGGGGTTAAGTTTATAATAAAGGTGTTGAAGTGGTGGTTCTTTTATTGTTACCGAACATATCAGATTAAGGTTCGTCCTTTATTTGCTTATTTCTATCACCTATTATTGCAATTGAACACCAAATTGGCCAAAATTTACTGCAAATAATAAATTGAAGTTGACACATCAGCCATCCCAAAAACACATTTCACACTGGAAATAAAAATCAAAGGAAAAGAAATAGAAAAAGGAATATGGGATGAAGAGGGAATTCAAAGATACAGAAGTAGACTAGAAAAAATGAAATTCGAAGTAGAAGAAGAGATAGAAGCTATGACAGCAGAACTGATCAACTTAATCGTAGAAGCTACGGAAAAAAGAAAGATGGCAAGGGAGAAATAATAGATGGAACGGAAAATGTAGTGAGTTGAAGAGAAAAGCAAAAATTAAGAAAATGGAAGAAAAACAGGGGAAATAAAGAAGTGTACTTAAAAGCAAGAGAGAATTATAGGAGAAAAAAGAAAAACGAGAAGAAGAAGAGAAGACAATAAAATCCATGAAAACAGAAAAAGAAGTATGGAGATATATATATAAACAAGGAACGGAGAAGGAAGACTGAAGTCAGTAAAAAAATCAAAATATATGAATGGAAAACACACTTTATGGAATTATTGGAAGGTTGTGAGGAAAATTGCTGCAAAATAAGTAAAGGAATCACAACGACGGAAGAAATGTGGAGAGGTTCGGAAATGACAGAAGATTAAATAGGAAGACAGATTGAAAGACTGAAAAGAGGAAAGGCACCTGGAGGGGTTGGAATCCAGAACGAAACGTGATGGAGTTTGGAAGGGAAAAGGGTTTCCTCGGTAGTGGAGACAAGGTATAATAATCCCATTATTTAAAAAGGGACAAAAAAGTGATGTGCAGAACTACCGAAGGATCACACATTTTAATGCATTGTATTCTTAATTATTTATGCAGAATTATGTATCAGACTAATTTGTAGTGATAATGGGTTAAACACATTTTAAACATCGTTTAAAACAAGTGTAGTAGTAAAATAATAAATAGTTTTAGAGTAACTTTCGGATTTAAATTATCATGTGTTTTTTCTTCGTCTTCAAAATGTGATCAAGTCTTAGAACGCGTGCTAAAGGTGGTAAGATTCTGTAGCACAATTAAACAGGTCGAACGAATTAATGACAATGACGTTCGACTTTATTGTGCCAATCTTCTCATCCGAACACTCGGTTTCCAGTCTCCAAGCTAAACAAAGAGTGTTCAGATGATAAGACTAATATTTCAAAACTAACTATTGACTTTCAGGAATGGCCACAATTTTCAATTTCGCATCCTTGGGTTTTTCAATTTTTCGATATTTCATTTTTGTATTATTCGATTTTTTAATTTTTTGCAATTTTAATATTTCAAAATTTCGATTTACAGTTTTCCAAATTTTTGATTTTTCAGTTTCATAATCTACAATTTTTTGCTTTTCTAATTTTGCAATTTTTCTGTTTTACAGTTGTTTCATTTTTCACTTGTTAAATATTTTTTTAGTTTTGCAATTTTACAATTTTTTAATTTTCCAGTTTCATATTTTTACAATTTAATGAGTCAGTTTTCCAATTTTGGGTTTTTCAATTTTTCAATTGTTAGAATTTTGATTTTAACAATTTTGCTATTTTTATTTTTACAGTTTAATAAATTTTCGAATTTCCACTATCCAGTTTTACTATTTTGTGGTTTCACAATTTTTCATTTTTTTTTATTTTTGATGTTCAAAATTTCAATTTTAATTTTTCAAGTTTATAGTTTACGATGTTTCATTATTAAAGCTATCCGATTTTCCAATTATTCGATTTTACACTTTTTGGTTTACTGTTTTTAATTTCATAATTGTTATTTTTAAAATTCCTCGCTTTTTCAATATTTCTTTTTTTGATTTTTCAGTTATCCGAATTCTATTGTATTGATTTGCCAATTTCTTGATTTTTAATTTTCGAAAAATTCGAATTCCAATTTTTAAAGTTTTTGATTAGCCTTATTTCGCAATTTTTCTATTTTACAATTTTGTTATTTTTAAAATTTTCGATTTTGTAATTATCCAATTTCTCAATTTTGTAATTTTACAATTTTTCAACTAGTTGATTTTTTTTGTCCAAAATTAGGCATATATACATACTTTGCAAAATTAAATAATAATTTTTCGAAAAAGCTGGACTTTTGATTTTCCAGTGTCACATTTTTACAATTTTTCGACTTCTAAATGGTCCAGTTTTTAATGAATTCATTTTTCAATGTTCAGACTTTCCAATCTCCCAATTTTTCAAGTGTTTCAAATTAGAATTTTAAAATTTTTTCGACTTCAAAATTTTTAGATTTTTCAATTCTTCAATTTTTGACTTTCCCAAATACTCAATTTATCGATTTTTCAATTAATCGAAGTTTTGGTTTTCCCATTTCTTAACTTTCGACTGTTTCGATTTCCCAGTTCTTCAATTCTTCAATTTTTCGATTTTTCAAGATTTTGATTTTTCAATTCTTCTATTTTTTAAGGTTTCAATTTTTCGACTTCACTTTTTGATTTTTCGATTTCTCAAATTTTCAATTTTTTAATTTCTCAGTTTTTGGATGTTTCAGTTTTGGGATTTTTCAGTTTTTGTTTCATTTTTCAATTGTTTGAAATCTCAGTTTTGGCATTTTTCAGTTTATTTTTTATTGAATTTTTCGATTTTACAATATTTCAATTTCTCGATTTCTCAATTTTCCAATGTTTGGTTTTACGTTTTTTCATTTTTCTCTTCAATTTTACCATTTTTTCAATATTTCAATTTTTGACTTTCCCACATACTCAATTTTTCGATTTTTCAATTAATCGATGTTTTGGTTTTCGAGTGTTTCGATTTCCCAGTTCTTCAATTCTTCAATTTTTCGATTTTTCAAGATTTTGATTTTTCAATTCTTCAATTTTTCAAGGTTTCAATTTTTCGACTTCACTTTTTGGTTTTTCCATTTCTCAAATTTTCAATTTTTTAATTTCTCAGTTTTTGGATGGTTCAGTTTTGGGATTTTTCAGTTTTTCTTTCATTTTTCAATTGTTTGAAATCTCAGTTTTGGCATTTTTCAGTTTATTTTTTATTGAATTTTTCGATTTTCCAATTTTTCAATTTCTCGATTTCTCAATTTTCCAATGTTTGAGTTTTACGTTTTTTCATTTTTCTCTTCCATTTTACGATTTTTCAATTTTTCAATTTTTGACTTTCCCAAATACTCAATTTTTCGATTTTTCAATTAATCGATGCTTTAATTTCCCCATTTCTTGACTTTCGACTGTTTCGATTACCCAGTTCTTCAATTCTTCAGTTTTTCGATTTTTCAAGATTTCGATTTTTTAATTTTTCTATTTTTTAAGGTTTCAATTTTTCGACTTCTCTTTTTGATTTTTCGATTTCTCAAATTTCTCAGTTTTTAAATGTTTCGGTTTTGGGATTTTTCGGTGTTTCTTTCATTTTTCAATTTTTTGAAATTTCAGTCTTGAAATTTTTCAGTTTATTTATTATTTACGTTTTCTCATTTTTCTCTTCAATTTTACGATTTTTCAATTTTTCAATTTTTGACTTTCCCAAATATTCAATTTTTCGATTTTTCAATTAGTCGATGTTTTGGTTTTCCCATTTCATACTTTCGACTGTTTCGATTTCCCAGTTTTTCAATTCTTCAATTTTTCGATTTTTCAAGATTTTGATTTTTCAATTTTTCTGTTTTTAAGGTCTCAATTTTTCGATTTCACTTTTTTGATGTTTGGATTTCTCAATTTTTCAAGTTTTTAATTTCTCAATTTTTGGATATTTCAGTTGTGGGATTTTCAGTTTTTCTTTCATTTTTCAATTTTTCGAAATTTCAGTTTCGGTTTTTTTCAGTTTATTTATTATTCAATTTTCGATTTTACAGTTTTTCAATTGCTTAATATTTTTCGATTTTTCATTTCTTTTTTAATTTTTTAATTTTTCGATTTTTCAAGATTCTCAGTTTTTCGACATTTCAGTTTTGAAATTTTTCAATCTTTCGATTCTTCGACTTTTCGATATTTGACTTCTGAATTTTTCGATGTGTCGAATTTTTTACTCTTGCGATTCTTCAATTTTGTTATTTTTAAATTTTAAATTTCTAAAACTTAAGATTTTTCGATTTCTCGATTTTTCATTTCACTTCTTCGATATTTCAATTTCGAATTTTTCAAATGTTTCAGTTTGTTAATCTTTGGATTTTCCGACCTTCCGGTTTTAGATTTTCTGTTTACAATTTTTCGTTTTGTTTAAATTTTTGATTTTTTTTCATTTTTAAAATTTTTGGATTTTTCAATCTTTTGATTTCCCGATGTATCAAGATTTGGATGTTTCGATATTTTGATTGTTCAGTTTCTCGATTTGAGTTTTTCAATTTATCACTTTTTGATTTTTTATTTTGGCCTATTTCGATTCCTCAATTTTTCGATATTTTGACTTCATGATTTCCATTTTCTTGATCTTTTTTCATTTTTCAATTTTTAAGTTTTCGACTTCTCGATTTCTCGGTTTTTTGATTTTCCAGCTTTTCAATGTTTCAATTTTCAATTATCTGATTTTTGAATTGACATCTTGAATTTTTCACGTTTTCGATTTTTCAAATTTTCGATTATTTTAGTTTTTAATTTTTTTTCTCAGTGTTAATATCATACAATCTATCGCCACTAACCACAAAAATTGTCACTAAAAACATTTAAAAATCCATACAAAGTAGAACACAGTGTTTCCAAAACATAAAAATAATTGCATTTTCCCGAAAAAAATCGAGTGGAACCTGTAACATATGATAATATATTTGTAAATAAAACCATCCAAATATGTACCAAAAGTGTTGTTGTATGGCGAATTTAAATGTCGTTTATTGCTCTTTTTGAAACTTTAACACTTGTTCATTTGTCATTAATATCAGAGTTATAAGAATTGAACATTTAAAAGGGATTGTGGTTAAATAACACAGAAACACTTGGCAGAAGCGGAGGGCGCGGTTCCTCGTCGGGCTGGTGGGATTTATCGCGCCACTTGCACAAAAAGTGCAGGTTAGAATAGAATATTTTGCTTTGTTTTATTAAATTTATGATATTCAAATATTTGCATTAATTCAGAACGTTTAATTTGATTTCATTCCAAATTCATTCAAAGTTTTTATTTGGAGTTGAGCATTAAGGGGTGTTCTCACCCAACACAATTTAGTCGCAGCTTTGTTTTTGCTTTTTTATGCCAATGGAGGAATAAATAATTTTGTGTCCTCCATTAATTTTGTGTTTTATTTAGCGGTACTTGCCGCCATTTTTCAGAAACGCAACGTAGAGTTCCATGTTGCTTTTCAATTTTTTTTTCACATGTCAATTTAAGGTGGGAAGTTTGGGTTAACACAGTATTTAGGACACATGATATCAGGAAAAGGGTAAAAACGTGCATGATTTCATAAAGGGACGAACGGGCAGACACAGAAGTAATACACTGCTTCTACAGCTAACTGTGTCATGATTTTTTCGCACAAGTAAACACTAACATTGTAGGTAGTAACATGATAATTCACTTTGTTTTGCATTCTTGGAAAAATCGCAGTAGATATGTTGTTACTTTACTAACACTTTAATCACTGCTTTTAAATATTATCGCTAAAGCAAAGAGAACCTTCAACATGAATCAAAAAGAAGTTACGAGTTATTCAGCTATGAGCAAACTGAATTTTCAGCTTATTTTAAATTTTTTGCTACAATGGGAAAAAAATTTACTATTCGAAATTCTCTACTGACCGACATCTTCGCCAATTCTCGACCTTTTAGTATCTACAATGTGTTTATCATCTCCTTTACGTGTTTATTCATCCAAACACTAGGAAAAGAATACGTCACAACAAGAAGGTAATAAAAATCAATAAAAACAGTGAAAATAAATTTAATTTTTGTTAGAGTAACTTTCGGACTGGATATAATAAGAACGGGCTTCGTCCACTTCGATAAAGCTATCTTCGTTTGGTTGAGTGGTTTTGGATCAGCTTGTGCTTCATTTTTCTTCTTTAAATTATGGTCAAATCTTAGAGAGTTTGTCAAAGAAACCGCCCCGATTTTGGACTGGTTTGGATTAACATGTCTGGCTGTATATTATTTTTACACTTTCAAGTTACTCACTGATGCAATATATTATTTTAACTTCAATATGCCTTGTACACTTTTTGTTACTTTTGAACAGGTAAGTGCGTCATTAAAAAAGTTGGTTGCATTAAAATATCAGTTTTCAGGTTAGGTTTTTAATGAAAGTACATGCGTTCGTGCGAACCAAGACCTCGGAAGGACCCTTTGGTTTGTCTTTTTCTAAATATCTATACTTCCTTTTCGCTCCTACCCTCATCTACAGAGACGCCTATCCTCGAACGAAAACCATCAACTGGAAATTTGTTATTCAGTGCCTTCTCGAATGCATTGCCGGTTTTTTCACAGTGACTTTCTGCGCGATCAACTGTCTTCCATCTTCGGAAAGATGGGCACAAAAGTATACTGTATCCGAGATATTGTTCGAGATCGAGGTCGGTATGATATTCACAGTAGCGGGTGTGATAGCTACGTCCTTTCTGATTTTACACTCGGTACAAAATTTGTTTGCCGAGATTCTCCAGTTCGGAGACCGTCTATTCTACTTCGATTGGTGGAACGAATATACTTTGCACGGTTGGTTGGTGAAATGGAACATGATCGTGCAGGATTGGCTGTATTATTACGTTTATCGTGATTTCAAGGAACACATTTGTGACGATGGTTTTCTGGCAAAATTGACTGTGTTTTTGGTGTCTTTTGGTGTACACGAATGGATTACGTATTGTTGTGTTGGTGGCTTTCTTCCGTTCATGTTTTTTGTTTTTATGGCTGTGGTGTTTCCTTTGTCGTTCTACGAATTTCCTAAAATCATGTTTTTTAAAATTCTTTTCCGGTGTTTCGGAATTTTACTGGTGAGCGTCGGGATAGTATTTTATACTCTCGAGTGGTATGCTTGCTCGCAAAGCCCTTTAACAGACCCAACACTTTTAGATTTAGTTGTTCCTAGATTTATAACATGTGATTGTGTATTAAAATGGTAGATAATTTAGACTGTGGAAGTGGACAAAAAAATTAAAATGTACTTAATAAATAACTGCCCTTGTTGATTTTGATTTTTGTTTCTACTCACTTCCACTTTTTTACTACAGATACTCAAAAATTTGTTACAGATAGCTTCAAACACTTTAGCTACACACAGCGCGTTTATATAATGGACTTCAAGCACGTGTTAAGGAAATTAATAAATTCTCGGGTTATCTACCATGTTCAGCTCTGTTAAGCTTTCTTTGTATTTCAAGTCAGACCGAGAGGTAAACCGCCGACCATCACGTGTACAATTGATTTCCTTTTGACAATGATTTCCTGTTGAATTCCCCGATTTCTTTTGATTTCCTCTGATTTCCTTTGATTTCCTGTGATTTACTTTGATTTCCTTTGATTTCCTCTTGATTTCCTATGATTTCTTGTGATTTCCTCTTGATTTCCTATGATTTCCTTTTGATTTACTCAAAATTTGTTTACATAATGTACTACAGGGCGATTGTTAACTTTTTTTTAACTTGACTTTTTTGTTTTGCCGATAATGATGTTGAATTTAAACCTTTTTTTACCAAGTGTTTACTAACGTACGGTGACTAGATAAGCTGAAGTGCTTTCCCTTTAGACGAAAAAAATATATAAATAAAATGTATTGTGCTGCTAAGCAACAAACTGAAATGTTTAAGAAAAAAAATCTGATTTTACTTACAAAAAGAACGCTACTCTAAAATCGAGGTTTTAGATGTCTAAATCAATAGAATAAATATACGTATGAATTTTACACTTTCTTGGGTCAAATGTTTGTTCTAAAAGTGGACGTATGCAATATTCTAGATTTTTTGCACATTCAGTCAGAAAACCTTATGGTCTATTTTAATTTTGAAATTAAAAATGTCTGGTGTGTACAAATTAGTTCGTTTAAATCACTAATTAAAGATTTAATAAAGTCTATTATATATTATTATTAATTTTTTAATAAATTATATTATGAAATTTTGCTTTTGACTTTACGAAATTAAAAGTACATAAGTCCAAGGATATTTCTAGTTACGTCAGCAGTTTTTACTTATCAGTGACTCATAAGGCAACAACGACTGGCTCATACGTTCGCAGAGGTAATTAATGAATACCAAATAGTCCAAAATCATTCTATTAGGTTCATCTCTGTGTTGTGCATACAAGATCTATTAAGTCAAACTTATAATAATAACTTAAGTCATTACTATTTAAAAATTGGGTTTATTCATTTATTATAGTAGAAAAAACAAGTAGTTTCATTTATTTTATTAAATGTTAAAACAAAACGGTAACTCTAAACATAAAAGTAAAGCATTTCTGTTGGATCATAACAAAATATCACAAAATAAAACAACTTCTTAAAAAATACTTACCCTATAACCTGGGTCGAGATTTGTGTATACGTTACAGCTAATATCCGAAATACGTTATTATGCATAATAACTAGACATTTTAGGAATTATGCGTAATAACTAAACTTGTCAGTTATTATGCATAATAACCGGAAAGATTAGGAACTATGCGTAATAACTGAAACTTTCAGTTATTATGCATAATAACGGGAACGTTTAGGTAATATTGATAGTAACTAACAGAGGAACAGGAATTATGCATAATACCTGAAATATTAGTCATTAAGCATATTGCCTAACATGTCCAGGTGATTTCACAAAAAACGGGACAAAATGAGCAAATCAGGTTCTCATAGATCAATGAAAAGCAATGGGAATATGACGTTTATGTTACTGTAATTTGTCCCGTTTTTACTTCCCGAGCGTAAGCAAAGGAAGTATTGTAATCGAGTCCGTCGGCCGACTCTCTACTTTTACGTTTTCTCGATCTTTCATGACCCCTAGAGGACGAAGAAATAGGTCTCCCGTTTCCGTCTGTCTGTCCGTCTGTTGGTCTGTCCGTCTGTCTGCCGCCCCGGATTTTTATTAGACAGATAATCTCCGAAAGTACTGGACTGATTGTTGTGAAATTTTGTACTTATATTAGGAATATCATGTAGATGGTAAAACGCTAACCAAATTTTGTCTAATCAGGCCCACCACTAATGCGATGAGTCCTACACATGTAGTTTACGACTCAGAATTGAGTTTTTACCCGAAATGTCCAGATTTTTGGAAAAAAGATCAAAATTACAAAGCAACATTTTGCAATTAAATTTTGAATCTGCAAGACCGAATGCTTTGAAATCTTGCAGATGGTTTACAGTTTAAGCATGGTAAATTTTTAGTCAAAATATATTTACTTGTCCCCTCCAAAAAATTGATGACGTCAGCTCAAAAGTTTGCCCAATAAATCCTATGTAAAATGTACAAACTATGAAGAGTCTGTACTTGTGATTTATCATTCCATTCATATTTTTTTGATTTGCATATACAGGGTGACTCAAAAAATTAATGAATGTGTGAATTTATTTTATTGATTTAATCAGGAACTACAATACCGACTGCTTTCAAATCTTGAATATGTTTTACAGTTTCCATAGGCATGGTAAATTTTTAGTCAAAATGTATTTGCTCCTCCCTCCTAAAAAATGTATGACGTCTCCTGAAAATTTTGCTGAATAAATCATATTTCAAATGTACAAAATATGATGAGTCTGTATTGGATTTGCATATACAGGGTGAATCTTGGAGATGTTTTAAATTTATCATAAGTATGGTAAGATTTTTAATCAAAATATATTTGCTTTCTAAAATTGATGACGTCACCTTAAAATTTTACCGAACAAATTCTATCCTAAATGTGTAAAGAATGATGACTCTATACTTGTGATTTATCGCTGCATTAATATTTTGTAGATTTGCTTATACGGGGTGTCTGAAAAAAATGAATGACTAAGTCAATTAATTTTATGGATTAAATCAAGAATTACAAAACTGAATACTTTGAAATACTATATACTTGGCAAATTATTAATCAAAATAAATCTGTTTATTTCCCCCACAAAATTGATGACGTTATCTCAAAATTTTGCCGAATAAATTCTACCCAAAATTATGTCGATTGTAGCTTACTAGTTAATTGTTTTAATCCTCTGTTTTCAGGGGACGAACTCATTCAAATCAAACTAATTTCTAGGTGACATTTTTTCGATGCATTAACATAAACACTTTCAAGTTGTTTTTCTTATCGAGGATAACCTAAGGACGTTCAGTAATATAATAGAGTCCATTGGGCAATTTGTTACTTTCAAATTTTCTCGACATTTCATAACCCCTAGACAAGGCCGTAGCTAGGGGAGGTTAGGGGATGCTCCCCTAGATCTAGACAAGTTACAATTAACCAAATGTGAATTACAGCATCCAAAAACCGAATAAAATGTAGGTAGTGTTTTATTCAATAAACGGAAATCAGAGCAATAAAAATGTCTGGTCCGTCGGCATTGTCATCCGGTTATTCCAATTCGTGGAAAACATGTTTTAGTTTAGTTTATGTTTCACCGTCACGTCTACAGGTTGATAAGTGTAATGGCTATTTGTCTTAAATTACAAGAACTATACAAGATGTTCCTTTTATCTGTTCACGCCTGACAATTTTTGCATATTTATTTTTAATAATAATGAAAAAACTTTCAGAGTTTAAAAAATATGGTACTGTGTTTACACGTGTTTCGGTACTGTGTACCGAAACACGTGTAGCAGTGACTACAAATATATATTTTTTAAACTCTGAAAGTTTTTTCATTATTATTAAAATTAATATGGAGTTTAAACACGTATCAGCCTCATCAATACAAACAATTTTTGCATAGGCGACATATTATACACCCCAGAGACGACTTCGTTTTTAATAAGCAATCATAGGAATCACAAAAAAAATGACAAAGATGTCAATGCCAAATAATGATAAAATTTAAAAAATTAATACTTACTCAATTTTTATTTTAAAATGTCCCGCTACCAAAATGTAATACGAAAAAAACATAATAGGCGTGCAGTCGTCACGTTTCCGACAGCGAGGGAAGTACTGTCTAAACTCTTTGGACCAATTTTTTTTTTTAAATCAACTGTACATGTGATATGTAGGGGAAAGTGAGGCAGGGTGGGTAGCTTTTTTGAAAATATTATGCATAATTCCTGTTCCTCTGTTAGTTATTATCAGTATTACCTAAACGTTTCGGTTATTATGCATAATTCCTAATCTTTCCGGTTATTATGCATAATAACTGACAAGTTTAGTTATTACGCATAATTCCTAAAATGTCTAGTTATTATGCATAATAACGGATTTCGGATATTAGCTGTAACATATATATTGTAGATGATGTTGAAGTAAAAAACTGTGCTAAATTATAGCTACCCATAAATATTGATGATAACACTTTTAATTTTTTGTTCACAACTTTCAAATGAAGCATATTAGAAAAAAACTTTTGAAATGCAAAATTTAACACGTAAGAATTTTTTTTTGTACAATAAAAGAGTGGATAACCCCAATTGATAAATTTTCAGAGGTAATTTTTCCCTTTAAAAGTGTTCATGGGCACCTAGAATTTTGCACAGTTTCTTACTTTAGTAAGACCCAGGTTGAGGTTACATTATCACAAATTTTAATCACATCACTTAAAAAAAAACTAGAATTAAATCAAATATTTTTTCAATAATTTTTTTTTCAAAAACTAAACTGCCTCTTCTGAGTACCTGAGGTGTAGGTAGTTTCATTATATATTAATTTTCTTGGATCTCCCCCTGATCTTTAATGTCCGGAAACATAAAAGCATCCGGAATTTTTGGATTCCTTTTCAAAAAATCGCAAAAAATAGGGTTAGGTGATAACACTTTACCAATGTAACATTTTTTGTTTTGTTTTTGAGTTGTTAATTGTACTATAATATTATCGTCTATATTTAAGTCTGGTTTAGAAGAATCATTCTTACTATTTTCAGCCTTGAGATTCAAACGAGGATTCAAATCATCAGAATAATTGGAAGAATTTAAACTTTCGGTGTCCGTGCTGTCATCATATTCGATACTACTTGGGTTGTCTAAATCAGATGAGTCACTTGATATATTATAGCGTCTTTTTTGTTTTCCAATTTGGACTGGTTTTAGAATTTGAGATGCATCTTTATGTTGAAGGCAGGTATCTGTTTCTGAGTTAACTCTACTTCTATTACATTTCTTATTTTGAATAAATGTTTGGAGACGATCCACACTGACGCTATCCTTTTCATTGTCTAACAGCCAGCAAAGTGAAGATTTTTTTATAACTTTTGTTGTATTATCTAAGCGTATTCTGACTAGATCACCTTTCTCAACAAAAATATCGTCACTATCAAAACTTCTAAGGTGTATGTCTCTGTCAAATTTCTTAGATTCGTACGAAATTGTGCAAAGATCGTTCAGTAAATCTTCATCTTGGTCAACTGGATCTTTTTCCAAACTTTGAAAACAGTTACGTTTCATGGCTATTCGAGAATTGTTGTAATTTTCAATGTGATCGCACTGTTCTTCACTAAACATTTCGTCTTCAACTTCGTCATTGCCTTCATTGTCTTTACACGGAGGCAAAAATACATAGTTGAAATCTATCACTTTCATTCCTAAATCTTCAGTGTCACGTAGACAAGCTCGTAAAGCTGATTCTACGGTGCTTTGTACATCTTTATCTGAAATGTTTCCTAAGTCATCATTTTTCACAAAATCTCTCTTCATGATTGAACTTTTTTCCTGATTTCTCTAGGAAAAACGAATTTTTTATCCAAATCGTTTTTAATGTTGTTTATAGTTTGTAGTCTGTCACTTCGATGCAACATATCTCTTATATTAAAATTAACAATTGTGCTAAAAGTTGAGGTCATTGATCTAAGACTCCTCAACATACTCTCACAAGTTTGAGAGCTAAACTTCCAAGGCAAGAACAAATCATCAGTAAGATTTTTGCACGACCTGAACTTAATGAATTTGGTACCTCATATCACAAACTTAATTTTTAAAAACTAATTTGGGGTGAAAATATCTAATTTAACTGGATTTGCTATGATGATTTTGGATTTCCTTTGTTTTCTTGTTGATTTCTCGTTAATTTCTCATTGATTTTTTCTTGATTTCTCGTTGATTTCCTCTAGCGTGTACAATTGATTTCCTGTGCGGTTTACCCTTCGGGGTACAGATTAAATTTAGACCTCATATAATTTTATTCTCGGGTTATGAGGGGTTTAAAACGACGGGCTCTATTGGTTACCTTTTATAGATTTGAGTGAACCAGAAAAATGGCTACAGTTTGTTTGACAACAAAATACCTGAATTTATAACATGTACACGTGTAATATCGTATTAAGAAGCTAGTTGAATATCAATCAACCGTATATACCATATATATCAAATATAAAGTTGTTTTTGTTTTTAATGTCATAAAATAGCGAATTAAATACTTATATAGAATTATGTATCGAGTATGCGGTCACCTTCATTTTAATGAATTTAATTTTTTATATCAATGTCCATCTACTTATTTATCATCAAGCCAGTAAATAATACACACCAAGAACGAACAAACGTGCATATAAAATAAATCACAAACACTTCCAAGTTTCAACATTTTCACTAAAATGGAAAAGAAATTTGTAATTCGGAATTCCCTTGCGACCGATGCCTTCGAACATCCTCAAACACGAAATATTTACAACATGTGCGCCGTCGTCTTCGTGAGCCTTTCTTTCCACACACTAGGAAAAGAATACTTGACAACCGGAAGGTAAAAACGTAGACAAAAGTGACGGTCAAGCAAAAACTTCTTTTAGAGTAACTTTCGGGTTTGAAGTAATAAAAACAAGTTTCGTCCACCTGGATAAAGCTATCTTCATTTGGTCGTGTTGCTTTGCGTCAGCCTGTGCATTGTTCTTCATTTTTAAAGTGTGGTTAAATCTTAGAACCTGTGCAGGAGGTAAGTTAAGGTGTGGTCTGAAAGCGAACGGTCTTTAGCAACTTTATGACCATCGTATTCTTTCTTATTCAGTCAAAAAGCGATCAACAGAACGCTGTTTGGAAACTACAATTAATATTATTATCAACGATATTTCAAACTTTCAGGTTTGGCCACAGGTTTCGATTGGTTCGGATTACTCTGTTTAGCTTCGTACTATTTTTACAACTTGAAATTAGTCACTGATGCAATACGCTACTTCAACTTCAATTTCTCTTGTATACTTATTATAACCCTCGAACAGGTAAGTTAACCATCAAAAAATCGCTTTAAAATAAATCAATTTTCAGTTCCGGTTTTTAATGAAAGTCCATGCGTTCGTGCGAAGCAAAGCTTCAGAAGAACTTCCTCGTCTCTCTTTCTCTAACTATCTATACTTCCTTTTTGCTCCTACTCTCATCTACAGAGACGCCTACCCTCGAACGAACCACATCAACTGGAAATTTGTCGCTCAGTGTCTTCTCGAATGCGTTGCTGGTTTTTTCGTATTTACGTTCTGTATTGTCAACTCTTTCCCATCGTCAGAACGATGTGCAGAAAAATTTACCGTAAACGAGGTGTTACTCGAGATTGTAGAGATAATAGGATATGCAGCGATAATGCTAGTGTGTCCATTCTTCACACTGTTCCACTCGTTTCAAAATTTCTTTGCAGAGATTCTTCAGTTCGGAGACCGTTTGTTCTATTTAGATTGGTGGAACGAACACACCGTTAACGGGTGGTTGTTGAAAAATGACAAGATCGTCCAGGACTGGTTGTACTATTACGTTTACCGAGATTTCAGGAAACATATTTGTGATGACGTTTTACTAGCAAAATTGACAGTGTTCCTGTTGTCTTTAAGTGTGCATGAATGGATTATATTTTGTTGCACTGGTGGACTTTTTCCTATATGGTTTTTTGTGTTTGTGGTTGTAGGACTTCCCCTGACATTCTTTGAGATTCCCAAAAACGTGCTCTCTGTAGTTGTTCTCTGGTGTTCGCTTATTCTATTTTCAGCGTTCGCATTCGTATTTTATACCCTGGAATGGTACGCTCGTTGGAAAAACCCTTTGGAAGATCCAACGCTTTGGGAATTACTTGTTCCTAGGTGTTTAACGTGTGACTGTGTATTAAAAATCTAGGTACTAATTTGTAGTGATAATGAGTTAAAGACATTTTAAACATCGTTTAAAACAAGTGTAGTAGTAAAATAATAAATAGTTTTAGAGTAACTTTCGGATTTAAATTATCATATGTTTTTTCTTCGTCTTCAAAATGTTGTCAAGTCTTAGAACGCGTGCTAAAGGTTGTAGCACAATTAAACAGGTCGGACGAATTAATGACAATGACGTTCGACTTTATTGTGCCAGTCTTCTCATCCGAACACTCGGTTTCCAATCCCCAAGCTAAACAAAGAGTGTTCAGATGATAAGACTAATGTTTCAAAACTGAGTATTGACTTTCAGGAATGGCCACAATTTTCAATTGGTTAAGAGCGTCATGTTTAGCCCTGTACTGTTTATAGCTTGACAATGCCCACTCATGCAGTACGCTGCTTTAACCTTCAACTAGTTGGAATAGGTAAGTATGTCACTAGAAGTACGTATTACGTTAAAACCTCAACGAAGTTTTTAATGAAAGTACACGCATTCGTACGAAGCAAAACATCGGAAGGATTTTCTCGTCTCTCTTTTCTAACTGTCTATACTTCATTTTCGCTTCTACCCTCATCTACTCTCGATTGTCGCTTAAAATAAGAAGTTGTTTTTGTTTTAAATGTAGCAAAATAGGAGTGATTATTTAACTATGCAGAATTATGTATCGGGTATGCAGTCACCTTCATTTTAACAGTCACCTACTCATTTATCATCGCTGAAGCCAAAAAATAATACATACCAAGAACGAAAATACGTGTGCATTAAGAAAGAAAATTTTTCAATTTTATATTTTTACGATTTTTCAATTTTTCGATTTTTAATTGTTGAAAATTGCATATATAAGTATACAATTTCCAAAATTAAATATAATTTTTCGAAAAAGCTGGATTTATAATATTGTACTCCAGCGGCGAGGAAACTTCTGTCTAAAAAAGTTTAGAGCAATTTTTCAATTTTGTGATTTTGAAATTTTTTGATTTTTCAGTTTCATATTTTTACAATTCTTCGATTTCTAAATGGTCCAGTTTTTAATTAATCCATTTTTCAATGTTCAGACTATCCGATCTCCCTATTTTTCAAGTGTTTGTCATTGAATTTTAAAATATTTTCAACTTCAAAATTTTTAGATTTTCCAATTTTTGTTTTACAGTTATCAGATTTTTCAATTTCTTGATTTTTCAACTTAATGATGTTTCAATTTTATACATAGTTTTGCAATTTTTAATAATTTTTCGAATTCACAATCATCCAAATTTTCATTTTTGTAATTTTACAAATCCAATTTTAATTTGTCAAATTTTTGATTTTTCAGTTTAATTATTTTATAATTTTCCATTTTTCAATTTTTAGTTTTACATTTTTACAATTTTTCGATTTTCCAATTTTTCTATATTATCATTTTTCTGTTCGAGTTTTGAATTTTTTTCAATTTTAATATCTCACAATTTCGATTTCTACTTTTGTAAATTTTTTATTTTTCCGTTTCATAATTCTGCAATTGTTTGCGTTTCAATTTTGTAATTTTTTTATTTTACGATTGTTTCATTTTTCACTTGGTCAATATTTTTTGCAGTTTTGCTATTTTACTATTTTTTAGTTTTTCAGTTTCATATTTTTACAATTTTTCGATTTCTCAGTTGTTCACTTTTTAATTAGTCAATTTTTCAATTTTTGACTTTTCAGTTCTCAGATTTTCCAATTTATTGATTTTTCATTTTTCAACTGTTCGATTTTTTATTTTAATAACTTTGCTATTTTAAATTTATACAGTTTAATAAATTTTCGAATTTACATATATCCAATTTTTCAGTTTTGTAATTTTATAATTTTTCAATTTTTTTGAATTTTATTTGTTCAAAATTTCAGTTTTAATTCTTCAGTTAAATATTTATCGTTTTTGATTTTTTAGTTAACTATTTTACAATTTTTAGTTTTTAAAGCTATTCGATTTATAAATTTCTCGCTTGTTCAAAATTTCAATTTTTGACTATTCAGTCATCCACATTTCATTGTATCGATTTGCCAATTTTTTTTTTTTAATTTTCCTAAATTTCGGTTTTCAATTTTTAAGGTTTTTGATTCTTCAAATGCATTATTTCGCAATTTTTCGGTTTTACAATTTTCTGATTTTTCAATTTTTCGATTTTCAATTTTATATTCTTGCAATTTGTCAGATTTACAGTTTCATAATTTTTCGATTTTACAATAATTATCTAATTTTTCATTTTTGTAATTTTGCATTTTTGTAATTTTGCATTTTTTTTTACTTTTGAGATTTATATTTTTAATTTTTCGATTTCTAATTTATCCATTTTTTAAAGAATGGGTTTTTCAGTTTTCGATTTTTCAATTATCAGATTTTATTTCTCTTTTTTTCAGGTTTGGAATCCTTGAATTTAATAATTTCACAAATTTCCATTTTTACCGTTTAATAAATTTTCCAAATTACAATTATCCAATTTTTCAATTCTGTAATTTTCCAAATCTTTGACTTTTAATTGTTCAAAATTACATACTTATATAGAATTTGGAAAATTGAATCTTATAATTTTTCGAAAAAGCTGGACTTGTAATTCTGTACTCCAGCGGCGAGGGAAATTCTGTTAAAAAAACTTCGAGCAATAGTTCAATTTTGTGATTTTGCAATTTTTTTTTATTTTTCGGTTTATATATTTACAATTTTTCGATTTCTAAATGGTCCAGTTTTCAATGAATTTTAAAATTTTTTCGAGTTCAAAATTTTTAGATGTTTCAATTTTATAGTTTTGCAATTTTTAATAATTTTTCGAAATCACAATCATCCAAATTTTCAATTTTGTAATTTTACAAAGTTTCAAATTTTTGATTTTGATTGTTTAAAACTTCAATTTTAATTTTTCAGTTTAATTATTTAATTGATTTCCGTTTTTGAAGGTATCCGAATTTCACTGTTTAGATTTTCTATATTTTAAAATTTAGATTTCCAGTTTTTCATGATTTTACACTTATCGATTTTTCAGTCTTGTGTTTTTTCTATTTTACAATTGTCTAATTTTTCAATTTTAAAATTATACGATTTTTAAGATTTGTAGTTTTCCAAATTTTTGAATTTTTAATTTCATGTCTTTACAATTTAATGAGTCAACTTTCCAATTTTTGATTTTTCAATTTTTCAATTGTTACAATTTTAATTTTTATTTTAATAATTTTGCTATTTTTTATTTTTACAGTTTAATAAATTTTCGAACTCAATTTTTCGATTTTTCAATTAATCGATGTTTCGATTTTCCACTTATTCTTCAATTCTTCTGTTTTGTGTTTTGTGTTTTGATTTTCAGTTCTTCAACATTTCTATTTTTCAATCTTTCGATTCTTCGGCTTTTCGATGTTTGATTTCCGAATTTTCCGATGTGTCGATATTTTTACTTTTCCGATTTTTCAATTTTGCTATTTTTAAATTTAAAATTTTTAAATTTCTTCGATATTTCAATTTTTCAGCTATTCGAATTTTTCAGGTGTTTCGTTTTGTTTAAATTTATTTTTTTATTTTTCATTTTTAAAATTTTTCGATTTTTCATTGTTTTGATTTCCCGATGAATCGAGATTTGGATATTTCGATATTTTGGGTGTTCAGTTTCTCGATTTATGAGTTTTTCGATTTATAACTTTTCGATTTTTTATTTTGGCCTATTTCGCGTTCTCAGTGTTTCCATTTTTTCATTTTCTCGTTTTTTAATTTTCCGCTTTAAGACTTTTCGATTTTGGCGTATTTCGATTTCTCAATTTTTCGATTTTTTGACTTCACGATTTCGATTTCTCGATCTTTTTTCATTTTTCAATTTTTAAGTTTTCGACTTCTCGATTTCTCGATCGTATGAATTTTCGATATCTTCGTGTTTCGATTTTCCAACTTTTCAATGTTTCGATTTTCAATTATCTGATTTTTGAATTTTTCGATTTTTTAAATTTAGGAGATTTGAGTTCTCGATTTTTCGTTTTTCGGTTTTTAAATTTTAGATTTTTGAATATTTTATTTTTTCGATTTTTTGAGTTTTGATTTTTCGATTTTCAGTTCTTCAAAATTTCAATTTTTCAATTTTTCGATTTTTCAGGTTTTTCGATTTTTCATTTGTTCAATTCCTGAATTTTTCGATTTTTGAATTCACTTTTTTGATTTTTTGATTTTTCAGCTTTTCAATTTTTTACATTCTCAGTTTTTGGATATTTCAGTTTTGAAATTTTTCAATCTTTCGATTCTTCGACTTTTCGACGTTTGATTTCTGAATTTTTCGATGTGTCGATTTTTTTATTTCTTCGATTTTTCAATTTTGCTATTTTAAAATTTTAAATTTTTAAAATTCTTCGATATTTCAATTTTTGAGCTATTCGAATTTTTCAGGTGTTCCGTTTTGTTTAAATTAATTTTTTTATTTTTCATATTAAAAATTTTTCGATTTTTCAATGTTCTGATTTCCCGATGAATCGAGATTTGGATATTTCGATATTTTGGTTGTTCAGTTTCTCGATTTATCAGTTTTTTGATTTATAACTTTTCGATTTTTCATTTTGACCTCTTTCGCTTTCTGTGATTTCATTTTTTCGTTTTATTAATTTTCCCCTTTTAGATTTTTCGATTTTTGCCTATTTCGATTTCTCAATTTTTCGATTTTTTGACTTCTCGATTTCTCGATATTTTGAATTTTCGATATCTCGATTTTTCGATTTTCCAGCTTTTCAATGTTTCGATTTTCTATTATCTGATTTTTGAATTTTTTGATTTTTTAAATTTAGGAGATTTGAGTTCTCGATTTT